ACAAACTTATGAAGTCTATAAAGTCCTTTAAAATTTCAGATTACCCTACAAGAAGCAAGCAAACACCAAGGACAAAACCTTCAAGGAAAGGCATTCTCAGGCAAATGCAAACCAAAAAAATCTTTCTGAAGGTCACTTCACAGGCTTCTCAAGTAGGGTTGATGGGTGTGGAGGTCACTTGCTCATGGCTGTGACCAGATAAAGCCGGAGCTAAGGCCAGATTGCCCTTGCATTTACTTTGGGAAGGCAAGAGTCATTCAGAGGATGACTAATTCTGCTGACTACAAGTAATTACAATAATGCTTCTAAAACCTATATTCTTTCAGCAGATTAAATTAGAAGTTTGTTTACTGAATAGTGTTCATCAAATATAGAAAAATATACAGAAATTAAAGGAGGAAACATTTAAAACAGAGCAGAACGAGTGCTTCTGAAAGAAGCCATTGGAATAATTTCTATTTAGTTTTCAGTCAAGCCTTTGAATGAAATAAGGATGCAAATTTAAGGTCACAAAACATGTAAAATAGCTTTGTAAGGCCAAAAGTAGGCTTAATATGCTCACAAAATAATTCAGAGACAAATCAAGGAAAGCCACAGAAAGAATTTGCAGGAAATAAAAAGTAAAAATCAAGAATTTAAAAGTTGCTCCCAATATGTTTGGCCAAAAGATTCTGTTGAGGAAGAAAGAGAGAAAAGTGGGAGGAGGGTGACCCTAACAGATATATTATCTAAATAGTCACATAGTTGAATTCAGTAATTCTACCTTTATTGTGGGACAGGTTTCAGATTCTGGAAGATCTCAGGAGTGGAACTTACTGGGAAAATGTACATATGAGTACACGAGCAGGATTTCCCACACAACATCAAGGTTTCATGAACCACCCAGACCTGTCCCTGCACTTGGCTGAAGAAATCCTACCACGTCCACCACTGCTTTCTACCTTTCTTCTCAGTAATACATATTTTGCAACTGTTCATTTCACAACTATATTTCAATCTGTGTGCTAATTCACTGTCTAGAGATTCCTACATGTTTGGAATACCAAGGCTACTAAAATAAATTGACCCGAATAAGAATTTTGGGCCTATACTTACCAATTAAAGACCCTGAGGACTGAGATGGCTGTGACCAAAGTGGAGGCTGTCAGCAGTGGAGGGCACAGTGACCTCCTGCATCTTCTTTTCCACCAAAATAATATTAATAGAACATATGAGCCATCCATGCTGAGTTACCATCAGCTTCATTTTGATGGCAGAAAATAATGAGAACTGCCCAGTCTGATAATCTTCTATGATGTTAGGGGAAAACGTGTGAAAAGCAATGCATTTGGTGCTTACCTGAATGTACTCAGCCCCCACCACCTCTGGCCTAGATTCATAGTTGGGAATTAATCAAAGGCATTGGCTGGGGTAGATGTTAACGCATTAAGGATTTCTGTTTACTTTGGCACAAAGTGTGCATTGTACAGATTATGGATAAGGACGAGGAGTTAAAACTGCGTCACTAAGGCGCAGCATGTTGAAACAAGGGCTTCCTGTGAAAGAAGAGCTAATTTGGAGGCAGACTGCATTTGTTTAAAGTCACTTCTCCTTAAATGTGTTCCAAAGACAACAAACTATGTTAGGAACCACTTACAAGGAACACATAAGGTTTTAGGTCAATTTAGAAGATTAATAAGATTGTCCAGAAAACTCTGGAAAGTTTTAGTATTCGTCATTGCACTGCATTGTGTGCGTAACAGGCCAAATGTAGTGACAAACACTCATCTACTTCTAGGTCTGTCCCTGACTAACCTGAGCCAGCCTTTCCTAGGTACAAAAGAAGGAAGCCAGGATTCTTTAAAATGTTAACATGGCTATTTTTGTCAGGATTTTCATAACAAATGAGAATATTGCGTAAATATTCTTTCCTCTTTAACAAAGAGATTGTGGAACTAATACCTAAGGCTTAGTGATAAATGTATTTTTCCTAAGATGGGATGGAGAGGTTCACTGGCTCTCAAAGATGTGGGAGGGCACTGTGCCTCAAGTTTTTATTCTGTGCTCCTTGCTGTATATTTGAAAGGACTGTGGGGAGCCCACTATCTCATTAACAGTAATAACAGGAACTTGACCTTCAGTCCTTCTCCAACTGTGCCTTTAGGTAAGAATTAATTCAACAACCATGTATTGAGTATTTCCTGGGGCTAAGGAAACAAAGAAAAATAAAGTAAAATTTCTGCTTTAGAAAGACTTCCACTAAAGAGAATAAAAATATTAGAAATATTATGACAGGCAGTTGGGCAGGGCTTACCCAAATTCCAAATGCACATCCACCCAACCCAGGAATTCCAAGTCTCACGCAAGGACCTGCACACACGTGAGATGACAGTCCTGAAAAGATCTGCATGCAGTCATTTTGAGTAGAAAAGATAGAAACAAAGTAGATGTCCCTCTGCAGGAAACAGGTTAAATAGGTCATAGAATATGCCCATGATGGAATGTTCTGTAGCTAGTGAAAAAAAAACATAAGAAGCTTAAGGAGGAGGTACAGGAAGGTCCCCTGGATTGAGATAAGTGAGGCAATGAATCACGCGAGCATGCTGCTTTGTTGCAAGAAAAGGCATTACATTTTTAAAATGTTTTCTACATGTTTGTCTCAATGCAAAGAAAATGGGAAAAGATCCCAAAGACCCTAGAAATGGCAGTTTGCTGTGACTAGAAAAAAGTTGCAGAAAGGGGTGGACAGGTGGCGTCAACTCAAGGAGGGTGTTCACAGTTCACCTCTCACCTACTTTCAAATTAAAAACAAAATCAGATAGGAGGAGCACTTATTTCAGTGAGCTTCCTCCGATTCCTTAGACATTATTTGTATCTCAAGTCCCAGGACCTATGTTTTGTGTTTTATATGAGAAATGCATTTCCGGCACTGTCATGATTCAAAAATACATCAGTGGCTTCTATCAGGCAAGATCAGCGTTACCCTTAGCTTAAAAGGCGCCCACCACCTGGCTGGTCTCTACCTTGCAAGCATTTCCTCAGGAGGCCCCTGCCTTTTCTGAAGCTATTCCTTCCATCGCAAGTTCCATTTCTCCATCTGGTTCCCCTGGAGAAGATCCATTCATTTCCTCTAAGTTTCCTTCATGCCTCAATCTCTAGAGATGCTTTGCTGCCGTATCCCTAGGGAGACTGAGTTGATAAGCCTCACCTTCCGTCACTGCAATTTGTAGTAAGC